TTACAGAATGACTGTAGACATGGCACATAAATCTTATCCTTACAACAGCTGGGGCTCCCAGAATAAATCCACTTTTACAGCGTCTTTGCCGCTGCTACATTTTTTTTTTCACTTTCTCACTATAAATAATAAGCATCCCTTTTTCACTTTTTATCTCACACCTTTTCCTGCTTTTATGTGCTGCTTTATTTATGGAAAAAGAGAGTAGTGGTATTTTACCAATTACTTGTTCCCATAGTGCATTATTAAATCAGTAACCTATCAAAATCTACTTGTTTTCCAACTCTAAATTCAAGCGTACTATCTTATTACTTTTATAATGAAATTAAATGAAAAATTACATTTGAAAATGTGATTATTATTGATTCTTATGAAAGAAATATATGCTTATGAGCAAACCTTTTAAATGCATTTTTAAACATTTTGCTGTAGTTCTGATCTATTGAGTGTGAACAGGAACCATGTTCACCTGGCTGTGTGTTGTTAAAGGCCCAAACAGAGCAGGAAATAGAACATAGTGCCTCACTTTTCAATTGCTTGAAGGTTAATTATTCAAGACTTCCCTCTCTCCACAGCAGGCTGAGAACAGCAGGATAGCATGGTGAGCTACAGCTTCTTCTTTATTCCCTTGGAGAGTGTCAGAAGTTTAAAACCGCTGTTCAAGTATAATTGAAATGCACACGTCTGAAGACTGGCGCCTTCAACCAACGCACGAGGAAAATAACAAACATAACCTCAGACATACCACAAACATAACCTCAGATACCCTCTCAGTAAGCAGAGCAATCAGCAATGTGATCCTAATCAGCAGCAAGACTAAACTGTTCTCTGTTATTTTGATTATGCATTCATTGTGAGTGTAAATTATGTGTGTAGATTAGTTGCTTCATCTGATTATAAATAAAAGAACATACCAGTACTTTATAATGAATATGTTGTTCATAATGAGGTTTTCTTAGTTTTAAAAATCAATTAAAAACAATTCAACTACACGCAAGGAGCTGAAACTCTTGTGAGACTTGAGTAACAAAAGAAAACATAATTAAAAAAGGCGACACAGAAGGAATGTCTTCACCAGATTCACATTCTGTAATCTCCACAAAATTTCTGTTTCATTTTTGTATAAAAGCCTCTTTTATTATCCCAACCCATCTTTTTCTCATCATTAGTAATCAAAACTAGATACAGAAAAATTTCACTAAATAAATATTACACAACAATGAACAAACAATGTACATGCTGCATTCAATTTTAGCAGAATGGGAAGAACAGGTAAAACACAACTTATTCTGAATTGAGAATTATTCCAAGGTGGTTAGCCCGAGGGCTAACTTACCTGTTTGTTGTGTTGTGTATTTATAGCAGTTAATTAGCTTAACTGATTGTACTATTGTTAATACTGGATGTTGTTTTGGTGTAACTGCCAGTTTCACCATGAGGGACATATCGTCTGTGTCACATATTTCCAACATCTCTGACTCGAAAATGATAAACAATGAGATGTCAGAAATAATCATAAGAAAATTCAGATGGCTCAGGTGAACAGTTTTTCCCACTCGACTGCTCGTAATTACGGTTAAAGTCATATGACATGAACGCAAAAAAAAAAAAAATAGGAACACATTAACCTTAAACAGCTAGTTTACTGGCTAGCTTTGTTAGCAGTAAACTAATGACAGCAAATAACAATCCACTAATCACAAAACATCCCTAATATATGTGTTCCCACAGATAATGTTCCAACAAGGGCATTTTGGGAGTAAATAAGAGGCATGTCAATATTTGCTCGGCACAGATCCCGGACAAAATGGTGGATGTAACAATGTCAGTCAAAGAGATATGTCAGTTACCAAGAACACTGTATGTGAGAAAAATGGTAAGAATGGAGCTTGTTCAGTGGTGCACCGTTGGCACCTGTGTATCACTTTGGTTCTTGTATTTCAGAAGGGATCTGTAAAGATGGCGGACAATACTCATCGTCAGCTTAAGTAGAAGAATGGACAAGCTAGCGCTAGCTACACCCCAGGCTTGTCAGATCAGACGCAACAAGGGTTACGGGATAGGGTTACAGCCCAATGCTGGTTTCAATTATATCATTTTTGTAAGAGAATAAAGTGAAGTGAAGTAATCAAGTGACAACTCATTATCAATTATCAAAATTAACAATATAGTGTTTTAAAAAAAAAAAAAATCATGACATCGTTAGTAGTGAACTATGTATCTACTGTGATATACTGTAATCTACCGTGTGTACAATGAATCAGATTGCGATCCTTTGTATAGGCTACTAATTAGGTAGAGTTAACATGTTCTCTTCTTGGAACACGACAACAGCCATTGGGTCCAGTTCATCTGTTACTGGCATGTACCTTTGCCAGTAGTGGTTGCTACTAGCAACAGGATGTTCAACTGAAACCAACTGCAGGTGGCAGAACAGTGGGCATCAAGGCCGCCATTTGCTCCTGGATTTTAGACTACAGAGCGCCACCTCTTTCACAAATCACAAATCACAAATGACCCTGTATTCAAAAGTAGCTCTGCCAGAACTTAACTGTAAAACTTGCTGACAACATTGTAGCTGTGAGCTTCAAGGGCAGATGGGTGGTGCATGGAAAATCACCTGATGCTTAACAAGAGGAAATCATACATCAGACTAAATAAATGAGAAGAGCAACTCCATCAGTAATAACTTCATTTTGAATACTCTGGTGATTTGACTCAACTTTAGATGACTTTCTGTTTTTTGTTATTGTTGATGCTTTTTTGAACACCTTCAGAAGGATGAAGCAAAAAAGAAATTACTTTCCATTCTATTCCTCTCAGAAATTCTTTTAACCAAACAGCTGTAGTCTCCTAAAATGTGCCACTGAGCACTGAGTGTATTGTTCACAGCAGCAGGTTATTTCACTGATTTAAAACACCTCTCTGGTTGAAAGTGTCTTAAACAGTGAAATAAAATGCTCAGCTTGAACATACATGGCTCCACCAAATTAAAGTATAACCCTGCTGTCAGTAATCATGTTGTGTTAAAAAAAAAAACCAAAAAAACAAACAACTGAACCAGCATCCAGATATGACCAAAAATCACCCACTGGCTCCCCTTCCCTCCCCGCAGCAGAAACACTGTCACGATTGCAGATACAGCTATGGAAAGCTGCATTTTCTGATGAAAGTGTGTGTGCTTGCAGAAGTCTCCTGGAGCTTTTTCCTGGGGTGTTGATGATGATGATAATGACAAGCAGCAGTAGCCACAATTTTAATGGTGTATATTATATCAATTAATTAGACTGTATGAACATATACGATTTAAATTATATAGTATTAGACCAACAAAATAAATAAACAAGTAAATGAATATAAAGTATTTGATATTTTCCACCAGAACTTTACAGAAAAGAAAACTGAACAGTTAACTGGGTAGATGAAATATTACAAATCCCCATGCCTGTTTTAAGGACTATTATTTATTATTATTATTTATTTATTTTATAATTGGAAGATGTTGGTGGTGCACTGGGGGGATGTGAACTCAATATTTATAATATCTGGGTTCCATTTTTCTTGACTTCTATTTGACTTTTTCTTAATTTTTTTTAATTTCCTTTAATAGTGGTGATATATACACTGCCTACAATTACTGCCGAGTCAACCTCCCAGTGAGCCCTTAGGCAAAAATTCTTACTAGCCCCAAATTGAACCCCGGTATACATCACACTTTCATGATTTCCTCAGGCACCCAGAACCCAGCCAGTATACACCAAAGCTGAAATAATTAAATGATAATTTTTCATCATTTTCTAAGATAGTAAACTCAACATTTTTGGGTTTTTAACTGTTGACTTCAGGAAATAATTATGTGCCTTTTTCTCTACTTTCTGTCATTTTATTGTTATGGTCCTGGTTGTCTTTCTCTCCATTATTTGTTTGTGCTTGGTTGTGTGTTGATGGGTGTGGCGATGCTCTCTGCTCCTCACCTGCCCCGATCTCCTCCTCCTCCTGCTGATTGCATCAGCCTGGGCATCTGCTCCTCATCATCTCTGCAGTGCTTAAACCCCTGCTCTCCAATCACTCACTGCCAGGTTGTGCAGTCTACCTGTGTGGTATTATGTTGAGGCCTCATAGTGATTTTGCTTCCTCATGTTTTTAAATTCTGACTAACCTTATATCTCCTGTGCTCCTGGATCATACCCTTCCTGTTTGCCTACCTGCTGCTCATCTCCACTGCAGCTTTCCCCCCATCAATGGATTCACCGCTCTGCCACTCATCATCTACCCGTCTTCTATCTTTTCGCCTTTACCTGTTCTGCCTCAATTCCCTTTACAATAAATCCAGCTCAACCTTCTCACCTGAGTGTGTGCTCTGCGTCTGGGTCCACTAAACATTTGGTTATAACATTCATACAATGCAGTTATTAAAGAATCATTTTTCCGATATATTGATAATGCAGTTGATTGTAGCCTTACAGTACTTATGTGTTGGAATAACTCTATCTTGTCTGAGGCTCCCATATGATCAACAGATCAAAACAACTTAGGTCTCAAAACCTTTGATGCAGTCGCTCGATCTAGATGATGGAGGACCAGACATAGTTGATATTCTACTACAGTGGTACAAATTTCTTTCAAATTCAGCCTGGGTCATTACTTGAAATTGAAGAAAAGGTTATTAATTTCAACCCTACGAATCAGAAAAGGCATGCCAAAAAGTTCCACTCACCACTGTAGTCGAATAAGATGGACACTTGAGCATCATTTGGAAACAAATCATAGACGCCTTACTACTTTTATTTTGCATATTTTGGGATGGTTCTGGGTATGTGCATGAAAGACTACCGGTGTTAATGTAATGCAACGTGTTGTTAAAATCTTGCACTTTTTAAAACAAAGATCAGTAGCATAATTTAGAGCATAGAGTGTCTGGTACACAGCTGATATTACTGTCATACTAAGCACCGCCTACTACGCATGGCAATGTTGCATCAGAATCGCAATATCCGGGAAACGTCACCAGCCTTCACCCGGTAACCTTACTGCTAGCAGTACACATTTCTCAGACTTTGCCGAAGTTATCTCTAAAAGTGAGGTAGCTTTTTCACAGGTAATGGCTGAAAAGACTGTCGTGGAGAAAATGAGCGAACTGCAAGTGGACGAGAGGAAAAAGGTGATACTTCACTTTCTCGTCAGGCTATATTTAACACAGCTGGCTAGCAGTTAGCCTAGCTACCAGTCAGATTCATGCTGTCAGCCACCAGCAATGTGGTACTAACGTTCCGGCTGGCTAGCTTTTATAAGTCAGGGTAAGTTAGCTTTACCGAAAATGTTTTCCTCAAGATAACAGAAGCATTAGTGTATTTTTTTGTTTGCATCTGTTAAGGTGGTAAATTGTGCCGCATTGCAATATCCTTGCCGGCTAGTAGCTGGTTTAGCAAACGTAGCTTTCAGGAGAGAGCCTCTCGCCAAACTGGGTACAAAAATCTGACAATTAAATGTTTCACTGATTATCGGTAGGGTTGCACACATGTAAAAGCAATACTTATGACCCTGCACGAATTACTTATGTTCTCCATTCAATCGGCTTACGCTTAATGGACCAAACTGATTTTCTTAGTTATATAGGTCATTCTGAAAAGCTGGTTTGTACTCCCACAAATTTCTAATAATAACTTTGGTGGTTACAACGTGGAAGACGCTGTCAGGTGGCGTGAACCATTTATAAATTCTTGTTGGATCACTTACTGGATTTACCTCAGCACTCCTTATGATTGGTCTTAAATCATATTTTAATTGCTATGTACTAGGCTCTATTGCCAGGCTTCTTTAAACAGATATTTCTATAGTGTTAGTGTGTTCCTGTGCATGATAATAGATGTGTATGTCACCATTGTTATATCAAGCATAGTGTAGGTGTGTACCTTTGCCGGGAGCGTGTCTATGTTCCCACAGCCCTATGTTCCCACAGCCCTATGTTAAGAAATATGGGACCATAGGGTTTCCTTTTGAGAAAAATCTTAGGCCTTGTCCACATTAACCCGGGTAAATATAAAAATGCACATTCACAATGAAAACGATCTCCATCCACACTAATCGTTTTCAGAATGCTTTGCATCCACGTTCCACGGCATCTTCACATTTATCCACCTCAGCGTTAGTTTTTGTAAAGCATCGTTTTCAGTTTCGGAATTCACTGTTCTAATGTGGACGGAAGGGCTAACCGGATAAATATTACCCGGGTTAGTGTGGACATGGGCTTATGGGAACATATAAGACTGTGGGAAAATAGGGCCTAATTTTCAAAACATTCTTAGAAATGTGGGAACATAGGGCTGTGGGAACATAGGGCTGACCCCCCTTTGCCAACTGTGTAGAAAAGTGTTTAGTTTGTATCCACGTAGTTATGCCTTAGAACCAACTTCATACTAAGCTTGTCTTTCTTCAACTGTATTGTTGAGAAAACTAAACTTACTCGCTAACCTCATGATGTGATTTTTGGAAAGGGGGGAGCTGAAAGTGGTAAAGAAGGAGGAAAGAAGAAGGCTAAAGGTGCAGCTGGAGACTCTGGGGCCAGGGCCGAGGTGAGTTGCTAAATTAAGTGTTAGAAAGTATTTACATGGTATTGTTAGACATTGGTTTAATTTCCTGTTTTACAAGAACACAAATAAAGATGTATGTCAAGTATTTATGTAGATCTGTTGTTGCATTATCACACATTCTGCACATCTTGTCTGTGTGAGTGTTGTGATGTTCAACAGCAAATTAATCTGGGAAACACTGCATAGGCTTCCAGGTGTAAACGCTAACGATTCAATGCACAGACTTCTTGAGCAGACTGTTAGCAAAGAGTCTTCTCCAAAATATATAGTGTCTAGTACTTTTCCCTTTTTGTACTCCCTGTGAATAAATGGAGAAACAGAAACAATTGTTACATTAAGATTCCAGCACTGTTTCAAACATTTTCTGTAAATATCAGGTTTTGGTTTCAGTCTCCCATTGTCAGCGTAATGTCGGCGTCTTTGTGCTGTAACTGTTTTGTACTGATTTGCATTATACAATTAAACAAAGCAGAAGATGTTTGGCACTCACAGCAAATAATTTATAACCTTTTATCTGTGTAACTTGCCTTGGCCATCATATTATGCTGTCACTTCAGGCTATCACCAATACATTTTTTCATTAATAGGGATACAAGCAATTAGCGCAGATTAACATCAGATGAAATTTATACACAGTGACAGCATTACCAACTACACCCCATTTACTCAATATTTTTTTTGTTTTTGTCCAGCTGTCACCACCACCTCAGTACATCGATGAGCGTCTTACTTTGTACGCAAAGCTGAAAGCTGAGCATGAAGCTCTGTTGGCAGAGAGGGCAGCAAAGAATAGCCGAGCCATCAAGGTGACCCTGCCTGATGGAAAGGTTGTGGAGGCCGAGTCTTGGAAGACAACACCATACCAGGTGGCCTGTGGAATCAGGTCAGTGAGATGATGGGACTGAAATCTGACTAGATGTAATTGTTTCATACTAAATGAGGCACCGCACTTTCATGAAACACAAAAAAGGAAAGCCTCAAGGGTACTTCAGGAATTTAATTTCAAAGATTAGCTGTCAAGTTTATTTGTACAGCTTGTAATTGGTGTTACAGTTTCAGAAGACTTCACAACACCCACATTATGAAAACAATAATTGAAAATGACACCCGCCAACCTTTTGCTGTCCACCAAAGACAGGAAAAACCTCATTAGTGTCAAAAGTAGAGGAAACTTTGCCTTGGCAAAGACTGAAACTGAGCTCCCTACCAGCATGGTCTAGTATACAATAAGTGCCAAGAGTGTGTAACAGAGATTAAATGTTGATAACCTCAGGGCACATGACAGACTGCACAGTAAACACAGTAGAAAGCTTGAGGAAATGTCAGGACCTCCATCACCATCTTTGTAAGAGTGGAAGCCAGCTTTGCTCCATATGACTTAAAAGCACCAGCCCAGCCCCTCTGTACTTTTGTTATGATGTAATGAGCACATTGGTATATATGGCTGGTGTGGCCCATTAGTCTGGTTTTAGGTCCTACAATTCTCATGATGTAATCAATTGGACAGTTGTATGTTGTAATTTCAAAGGAATGGGTGGAAATTAAGAAGCAGCTGCAGCCTTTTATCTCAAACCAACACACACCTTGTTAGACCAGCCAAACCACAACTACTGTACAGCTAGTGTTTACATTTGTCTCGCATGGTCAGTTCCTGGTGGTATTCCTTCAGAAAACCTAGATACTATGTGAAGCTGGGAAGTATATCAGTATATCACTTATTACCATTGTAATGATATTGTGGAATTCTATTTATGTTGTAGTTTTAGATACAGAGCAAACACAGATTTCTCTTAATGATTCCTGAAAAAATGATAGTACAACAATAGATAACATTGAGATCGTGAGTGTTGAAAGGGATGGTGGAATGTCCAATAAGTTAGGTATATGGGACATTTTAAAAACATAAGTGACATATTTGACTGTTTAAAGTGGACTTGCCAATACAGTTTCAAAATATAATTGATGTTTTTGTACATTTGCGGTTTGATGTGGAATATTTAAATTTTTTCTGTCCAGTCAAGGCCTTGCTGACAACACAGTGATTGCCAAAGTGAACAACGGTGTGTGGGACCTGGACAGACCTCTGGAGGATGACTGCAGCCTGCAGTTGCTCAAGTTTGATGATGAAGAAGCTCAAGCTGTAAGTATGCCTCAGCCCTTGTCCAACATAGCGTGTCTAAGTAAATGTCAATTTTATAATTTCTTTTCCCCTACATATGGATTAGAAAGGGGGGATGTAGTATAGTAAATTAATTTTAAACACCTTCTTCTGGATGCATAGTTTCCCCCCTTTGAGCACCAAAAACTTTCCTCAATACTCTGTTTAGAGCTTAATTTGAGAAAGCCTAAGGAAATATGTCTGATATTTTTTATTTGAATTGCTTTCTGTTGGTACTAACTTGGAGAATACACTCATACATAGAGAAAAAATTACAACAATTCTTCAGATTTTGCATCCATAAATCTCAGTTAAGAATTCAGAATGATTAATATTTTTTCTTTACAAATTCTACACATTATATCTTAGGAATATGAATTATATTTTGTCACAAGTGAAAATGTTAATTCGCTTTTTGGGGATTTTCTCTGCGTTCCAGGTGTACTTAACAATACACATCATCCTGAAGAGTTTGTTTAGGCTTATTGATATGCAGTTAGGGCCGGGTACCTAGGCATACAAGGTTAAAGTGATGAATGAGAGGTTTACAGTCAATAATAAACATCAAAGCTCTGTGGTCTGAGCCACTAATACATTAAGTGGAGATGTGAGAATATACAAAATTGCTGCAATCATGTACTGTCATAAAAGTGACAACAGTTGGTCTCTCTAACAGAATAATGAGACTTGTCCCTAAAAAAAAAAAAACCAAAAAACAGGGCACTTTACAAAGTACTGAGGCATTTTTCAGCTGATATAGTTCAGTACTTACATTAAGAAATTCCAGAGACTCAGTCAATTTGTTTTCCATGGTATCTTTTGTCATGAGGTTTTGTTGCACGTTTTGCATATTTTTAACAAGCCTTTTGTATTATCAGCATTCTGAAATGATATACTGAACATTGTTTGCAATTTCCCAAAGGCTTTAACAAATCTGCTGCTCAGTGAATTATTATAATATTGGCACAGTCACAAAGGACAACAATCTTGATTTTTCCAGCACAGTCATACTTCCCATTCTTGATAAACACAAAGGAATAGACTGGACTTGTATTTTGTTAATTGGGCAGTATTGTTTGCACTTTGTGTAGGTTTACTGGCATTCCAGTGCCCATATCTTGGGTGAAGCCATGGAGAAGGTGTATGGAGGCTGCCTCTGCTATGGGCCCCCCATCGAGAACGGCTTCTACTACGACATGTTCCTGGAGAACAATGAGTGAGTTGCACAAGCTCTGGGTTGATATTTGTCTGTATAATTAGCTCTGTTAGTCGGCTCCCTGTGTTATTTTGTTGTGTACTTCAAGGCTTAGCAGCTGTCAGTTGGTCTCAGTGTCTGGAACAGGTAGCAAACACAAAACAGGTGGATCGTGATGACGCTAATGCTGTCAAGCTGGATTTTTCTTGGGTGCGGATTTGAAATGACATCTTTCAATATCTATCTATGAGATTGGAAGCCTAAAAGCATATCTTTTAAAAACACAGAATTGAAGATTACTTCAGTGACGCTTTGACCGTGTGTTGAGACACCCTCAGAAATTTGAACACTTCTTCTCGTAAACAACTTTTTCACTTGACCTTTCCCTGAACAGATGCATTTTTCCCTGCTTCAGGCTGCAGGAGGGTGTGAGGAGCGCTATCTAATTAATTCTACAACCTCTTTAATGAAGTCATTTTATGCTAATGGCATTCTTAGAGACTGTTTTTTGCGAGGATATTTTGACATTGCTCAAGCCCTAAAGCCAAGGACTTTAAAGTATTTGCCCAAGCTTCGTCAGAGGTTATCAGTTTCTTGAAGTCAAAGAATTACATTGGTGGGAAAAAAGGTCTGGTCACATCCTTGATGCCCTCTGGAAACTCTGGCAGACTAAATTTAGCAAGTGGAGACAGTTTGCATATTAATGCAGGCTTCTAAGTGAGAACGTCATTGTTGAATGTACTGTTCCTGTTTTTGTTTATCTCTTGATGTTTTGGACAGGGGCGTATCGAGCAATGACTTCCCCTGTCTGGAAAACTTGTGCAAGAAAATCATCAAGGAGAAGCAGCCGTTTGAGAGGCTGGAGATAAAGAAGGAGACTTTGCTGGAAATGTTCAAGGTACCTTAAAGTACAAATACACAAATGCCTATACAAAAAGCTGTCAGGAGCACTGCATAAGTACCATGACTTTAAAACCATCTTTTGTCCTTTACAGTACAACAAGTTTAAGTGCCGCATTCTGAACGAGAAGGTCACCACTCCCACTACCACAGTTTACAGGTGAGTCCAGGGACTGTGCTTGTAAATGTTCTGGTTATTTTCCTGGTTAACTTATTGTCAGCAAATCCCATTTATAAAAAAATATATATATATATATATATATATATATATGAATGAGCCAAAAGCATTGCACTGGGTGTCATGTGCCTTCATTACAATGAACTTGGGTGCTGCAGTTTATTTTGAGTCAATGCCACATATGCCATCCTGCTGCCAGAAGTCCTCATCATCACACCAAATGCACAGCTGAAAATAGTCCCCGATAAATAAACTATTTTCTCTTGTGTGAGTAACATTTGTTGAAAACTACGGAGCCCAGCTGTTTAAGGAAATAGTTTTTCTTTTATTGAGAATGGAAGGAATTATGTATAACCAGTTTTTGTCAGACGGAACTATTGGGCTCGGGGCTGAGTGTCAGACAGAGTAGGGAAGTTTTGTTGACAAGAACTAAAATCTAGAGTATTACAAGCTTTATCCTAAACACAAGTGGTTATTATATAGCATTTTTCAAAAATATTACATTTCAGGTGTGGTCCCTTAATTGACTTGTGTCGGGGGCCTCATGTGAGACACACTGGGAAAATCAAGGCACTGAAGATCCACAAGGTGAGCCTTCTCATTTTCAGTTGTGCATGGTAAATGGTAAATAGACTTGGGCTTATATAGCGCTTTTCTAGTCCTACTGACCACTCAAAGAGCTTTACAATACTTGCCACATTCATCCATTCACTCACATTCATACATCACACTCATACACTGATGGAACAGCCATCAGGGGCAATGTGGGGTTCAATATCTTGCCCAAGGATACTTCAACATGCGACCTGGAGGAGCTGCGGATCGAACCACTGACCTTCTAATTAGTGGACAACCCCCTCTACCTCCTGAGCCACAGCTGCCCCACTGCATGTTAAAGTATATGTGGATTTATTATTGTTTAAACCAGTAGGGATTTCAAACACTCTTGTCTGTGCCCCAAATGTCTCACAGTAAGCATGTTTGTCCCCATTTCTACAGCAGAGTTACCTTATGTTTTATTCTCAAGGGATTTGATGCACCCAAAAGAATGATGAAAGCTAACATACTCCTTGTGTGGTGTGCTAGAATTCGTCAACATACTGGGAGGGTAAGGCGGACATGGAAACCCTCCAGAGGATCTACGGGATCTCCTTCCCTGACACCAAAATGCTCAAAGAGTGGGAGAAGTTTCAGGAGGAAGCCAAGAACAGAGATCATCGCAAACTGGGCCGGGTATGTACTGAAATGTGAAGAGGCTGTCAATTAGCAAAAGATTTGATGTCTATAATCCATCATTTTAAAACGGTCTCCAAAAGATTTTATTTTTACAAAGTTTATTTACGGTGCGTTGGAGTTTAAGTTTGTGAAGCTGTGACTTGACTGCATAGTTGCAGTGATGATCCCACTATGAAATACAGGAAGAAAACTGAAATGATAAGAGTCAGGATTGGATTCGATGTGCGACTGATGTAACCATATCAGACCTCTTCAACAGACAAGATATCCAAAGCCATTTAAGCCAGCGTGAAAATGGTACTTGTGGCGTATTTGCAGCAGTACATATGCACTTCCTGCTGAAAAAACATCATCCTACAGCAAGAAAAGCTTTTTTATGATTTTTAAATGTTAAAGACAAACTCTTCAGAATGTGTCACCTACTTGTTAAAATGCTGTTCATTTACATGTATTGTTAATTTACATGTCAATCAAGAAAGACATACTGAGGATGACATGATAGAAAATTTACTCATGACCTATTTTCAGCTGTGAGTGATGGCAAAATTATCCCATGGCACAAAGCAGCAGTCAGTTTGAATGCTTCTTCTATATGGAACAGCTGGTTAAGTTGTAAGGGTATCTTTATTGTCATATAATCTTTAACTTCATGTTTTGACAGGGGACAGACGGTTAAGGGTGTGTTATTTATGTGTTAGGTGTGTAAAAACAAGCTGGGCAGGAGACCACTTACATTGTCAAACAAATCTAGTGGCATTGTAGCTGCATTACTTAAAATTAGAACCAGTTAGGCCTGAGTGGTGGCTTCTTTCCATAACACTAACATCCTTTTTCTTTTTTTTATTCAGGAGCAGGACCTGTTCTTCTTCCATGATTTGAGTCCAGGGAGTTGTTTCTTCCTGCCAAAGGGTGCCTTCATCTACAACACCCTGATTGAGTTCATCAGAGTAAGTCAGCTGTCATAATTGCTGTGATCTCACTCTAAACTTTAAGACACATGAGAAGACAGAGATTATTAGGAAGAAAGTTAGTGGAGAAGGGAAGACCAGATTTGTACCTTAACATGGCCTGAGGGATAATAATGGCTTTATGTATTCACAGGATATATGGCTGCAATTTAAAATCACTTCAAGTGTCATATTCTTTTATAGGAGTAGGAAAGGTTTGGCTGTATGTTGATGATACAGCTTTATGTCCTGGTCTTGATAATGATGAACTAAGGGCTAATGAATCAAGTCTCAGACACCAGGGGCTTGGCATATAAACTGTTTCCACAACTGAAACAAATTAACTATAAAACATTAACTTGTGCATGCACAAACAGTAAAATGCAAATTCATATCCATACCTTCTCCTCCCACATCAATAAGGCTGTAAATAGATATACACATCTAATATGTGCAAACTCAATAGGACATTTCTCATTTTTGGCCAGGTAATAGAAAAACTTTACTCAGTGTGAAGCTAACCTTTGAACACAAACTTATTATTCATAGCCATTTATGTGGAATAAATTGAAACATGTAAAACAGACGTGATTGACAGCCTTGCTCTCTCTCTGTTACAACGAGCCACACACATCGACATGATTTAAAGCATTCACTTTCTTGTTGTTCAGTCAGTGCAGTCACAATGCAGTGCACATTGGAAGTAATTTCACTTTAATGTGGTAAAATAGATTTCTGACTGAGGAGATTTAGAGTAATGAGATCTGTTTAAAAACAGCTCTGCCTGTACAAGCAACAAAACACCTCGAACATCCAAATATTTGTAGCGTCTACGATTGTCTGCGTTTTAAATAAATTACCTTAGTTTATATAATTGTCGCTATCAGCTGTCTGTTTTGAATTCTAAAACTGATAGCAAACAAAACAGGCCAACCCAAAGTGCAATAAAGCACCTATTAGTTTTCCCCAGATTCCCTTTATAGTGTGTAAACAAATAGGAGTGTGAATATGCAGCAGTATAAACATTCTTCGAGGTAGTCTGCTTTTCAAAATCTCAGCCTTTGTGTGCAGAGTTATGTACTGTATGTTTTAGAGGATATACGCTATTTATCAGCAAGTCCTCTGATGTTGACAGAAACAGTTTTTAACCAGTTATTTGTACAAATATGAAGCCGAATGTCTTGATGTAACTCAAAACAGTCTTTAAAAGTGAAAATATTGCTCTGTCTTTGGCAGAGTGAGTACAGGAAGAGGGGTTTCCAGGAGGTGGTGACACCCAACATGTACAACAGCAAACTGTGGCAGACCTCTGGCCACTGGCAACACTACAGCGAGAACATGTTTTCCTTCGAGGTCGAGAAGGAGACCTTCGCTCTCAAGCCCATGAACTGCCCCGGCCACTGGTGAGGGCTCCTTTTGCTCACATTCAGAGTTGTTTGAAAGTATGGTGTTAATCTCAGCAAGGAACTTTAAAATGAAGTATAAATAAATAAAAACACCCACTTCTGTCACACGTTGTGTATCCAGTTTTGCTTTAGTGTAAAACAGATATTTTGATTTGATTTCTGTCTGTAATCGGAGAGTGAACTGTACTGTTGTCACAATACAACATTTTGTAACCTTGGTAGAATATTTAGTTTATCATCTAAAAAAAAAAAAAAGTCTAATACAGTAGTGTGGCAAGCAGGGACAACCATTAAATAATGTTTTGCCACACCTGAATAGCTTTATAAGAGTTTGCTGAAGGCTTTTGTTATCAGCAGTAGACTCAGTCTTTGTGAAATAGCTTCATATTTCACTGCTACAGTAGTTTGTCATCCAGTTCAGCTCAGCTTGTAATGGACTGATGCTCTTGCCATGTTTTCAGTTGTTGAATGACCCAGTTCAATTTACTGCTGAATGCTGCATTGCAGTGTAAAGAGCCAGACTGCAGCTCTTTATATTCAAATCTTTTATCTCCTTTTTTTACTGTTCCAATCTTTGTGCTATCCACATGGACAGCCCCTCTGGTGATCATACTGAAATTGAGCTTGCAAACACGTTTTGTTAAAAGTGATGAATGTCAGTTAAATCAGATTATATTCAGTCTTTCACACTGGTATAGAGGTAGTCGAGCAATTTTCAGGTATTGTGATAAGTCTAGGGTGAAGTTTGCGGTTGTATATTTTTACACTCTGCTCATTTGTTTGGCACCAGTCTGATGTTTGATCACCGGCCGCGCTCCTGGAGAGAGTTGCCCATTCGCATGGCCGACTTTGGCGTCCTGCACAGGAACGAGCTGTCGGGAGCCCTGACTGGCCTCACTCGTGTCCGCCGTTTCCAGCAGGACGATGCTCACATCTTCTGCTCCATGGACCAGGTGAGGCCTGCGCTGACGCATTGACATGACTCTGCCAAGTTCACCAAACACCTCTTTTTCAGTCATACAAGTCTGATGAAAAAAGTGATGGGAACAGTAAATTGAGCTTACCAGAACTCTTTAGCCTTCTCCTGATTTCTGCTTGAGGCTTGTGACTGGAGGCTACATTAGCCTCTCACCGAACTGTTGGCGGTTGCATTGAGTTGTGGGTAATGTGGGTGCCAGGTTTTGACAGGGAACAAGGATGAGTGGAATAAAAAGACAACATCTGATTCTGCTGAATCAATTTTCATCCAATAGTTGACAGGATTTTATTCATACCACTGTATTTTTCTGGCAGCATGCCTGATAAATGTTTCCACTTGCTATTTAGATCAATAAAAATGCAGTAGATACAAAACGCTTGAAAGCAAGTTAAACAGCGTTAAGACAAAAAAAAAAACCAAGAAAAAAACCCCCAAGCAAACAGTTTACAGAGAGGTGGCTTTCTGTGGAGAATCATTTATACCTGTTTGAAAGGAGCCCAGTCTTGAAAGGTCTGTGTACATCAGTGTCTTGCTGGTACGGTTTATTGAATAAATTCAGGTAATGTTGTCAGTGGATGGTCTGTCACATTCTCAGATGAAGTGAGAGAACTCCATGAGCTACTGCAGCTCGATGTAGCAACTTGCATGTCAAGTCCTTTCACCAGAGAGGAGCATTGCCAAAATCGATGCATGTAAACAGGACTTTTGAAGACAGAAGAGATTTCTTAATTAGTGTGTTCAAATGTAGTGACACAGCAACTTGCAGCAAGGATTTTGTTTTCTGTTTACCAGTAATAACTGTGGATTGGATGGTTAATTATTTGATTGCATGTTGTATACAAAGTATTTCAGTTTAAATTTTTCCCAGTCATTGCAGCAGCAGGACAGCACTCCTTGTAGTCTTCGTCTTTTATTATTCACAAAATCCAAGCAAACTTAAAGCAGACTGCAGAGGGTGTGTTTTGTTCTTATCTTATAGCTGCCATTAAATTTATAATCAGTGACTCCAGAAGGTGGCCCACAAGATTTAAACACTGCTTCTTAGGAGAGACTTACCTCATCAAACGCAAGCCTCTTTTCAGTTCTTCTTGTCTTGTCCTCTTTGTGTTGTATATCCTCTTTCACATCCAAATTGCTTTCCCAAAACTTAGGATCACATGTGATGCAAGTGCATGATTGCCCCCACAGGGACTCAGTAGCAACATATGACAAATACATTATGATTAAATGTTTCCAGTAGCTGTGTTGTTTTTGTTCTTAAGTAATACAGGACCAAACAAAGATAAAATCACCAGCAATTAAACTTGCAGCCATGTCCAGATGGATGATACAAATTTTGTAAAATTTTTCTTTTTTGATCCCAGATCGAGGAGGAGATCAAGGGCTGCCTAGACTTCCTGCGGACTGTGTATGGCGTGTTTGGCTTCACATTCAAACTCAACCTCTCCACAAGACCAGAGAAGTTCCTAGGGGACCCGGAGGTGTGGGACCAAGCAGAGAAGGTAATCAGAATGCCTCTTGTTTTTCTCATATAGTTGAAAATGTGAACACCTCTCACACAAAGTGTCACTGGAGAGTTCAGATGCTGAAATGTGATATTATCAAGATGGAAATTACCGAGCCACTCCACAGACAGCAAATGGAAGAGTGAGATTTATAGACCCAGAGAACATTTATATTTTAATGGGTTTTATTCTGCAGAACTGCCATCAATTCTCGAGCAGAAAAACGTCTTCCCTAGAGAATCCAAATCAGTGCAATCACTGTCAAATCAGGTTCACTGTGTGGACCATCAACGTTTTGCATCTTTGGTTCTGATCTAATTTGCTCTGGGAAAGAGCAGGGAATGTATTAAAATTAGCGTTAACAAAGTAATAATGAGTGAGTTAAAGTGAATGACAGTGACTTTTTTTATTGCCTGGTGTTTTCAGTAATTGATGAAACACTGTTTATACACCTTTTTAAGTCTTAACAGATGAATCGGTATGAAATGACAGTTGTTACATCGAGAACGTGCCACAAGTATACTGCATTGCTTTATCAGTAGCACAGGTGTATGAAGCACATACAGTTTGTCTGGCAAGCTCTGAATGGATGAAAAGGTGCATTGACAGAGATGCATCATGTGTTGAATTTTACTCTTGGATTTTTTGTCGCTTGATCTGATCGTTAGAGGCGTGTTTTATTTCATCAATGAAATATTATATCTGCAGTACACTTTGCCACACTTTGATTTTCTGTACTGCCTGAAACTTTATGTCTTGCTGTCCCCAACCATGTGTCATCGGCGTAGCGTTTGCCATCTTAATATGCTGCAGGCTGCTTAGTGTCAAAATGTTGTAGTTTCAAAATGCATCCGCTGTTTTATCAACCCCAAATGCTTCATTTTCCTCACCCATGACCCACTAGAAAGATTTTATTTAGTCTCAGGGCTCTGACAAATCACCAGGAACTGCAGTCACATTCATACTTGAATAAATGACAGTTCAGTAAGAACTAATCCTTAATACTGGCTCTATTTTTTAGTGTATCTTTTGCCCACTGAAAGAACAACTGATTACTGATGATAGTGGGAGTTATTTTTAACCTGTTATTTTATTAACATTCAGTCAAGTGGCTACAGTACTAATTAAGTGTTTTGTCGCTGACGAGCATACGAGACAAGAGAGTTTTAAAACTACAGTATAGTGATTGTGTTGCTTCTTACTGACTGTATTTCTGTATTTCTGTAATTAACACTCAGTCACAGTTATTAGAATAGGGAAAAAACACATAGAAGAAAAATTAGAATAGCTTGTAAGTTGTACAGCAGTTTTGCTTGACCTATTAGGACAATTTTCTCTGGGGAAAACATTCTCTAAATTCAACACTGACTTTTTATGATTAATGTTTTGCATGTAAAAAGGTGGAAAATTATAAACACAAAAAAGTAACTCGTAATCTTGGCATAGTCACTGGAACAGAACTTGCTGCATGTTTCCCTCACCTCATTAACTCCCACAAGCAACCATAAAATATTATTGAGATGTTAACATTTTTCAGTTCAGTGATTAGTTCCAGATGAAGAAAATGTCAGGTTTAAATATACAGCTTTGCTCACCACCACTGTTTACTTGTTGGTCAGCCACAGATATTGCAACAAAGCAGTAATTGTTTGTTTTTACAGCAACTGGAGAACAGCTTGAATGACTTTGGTGAGAAATGGGTTCTCAACCAAGGTGACGGCGCTTTCTACGGACCAAAGGTGAGCTGTGCGCTGCACTAATGATGTAGTTAGACTGTGAATCAGCAGGAGGGCTGCCACTAATCACGTTTACTTTGTTTGCAGATTGACATTCAGATCAAAGACGCCATCGGTCGGTACCATCAATGTGCCACAATTCAGCTTGATTTCCAGCTCCCAATCCGCTTTAATCTCACCTTTGTCAGGTAACTCTTGTATTTCTTTTTTTTATTCATGTTAGAGGAAAATAACAGGAGATATAATTTTGTATCTGACAATGCTTGTATTATACAGTTAAATATTTTGTAGTACAGTTAGCATAATCAAAGATAGAAGATTCATGCAAAAAAAAAATGGAGAAATCTGATTTGTTTTTCATTTTCCTGTAAAACCAGTCTCTGTCCTGTGAAGGAAAAAAGGGTACACAGTGTATCATGAATTCTTGTGAGTTCCTAATGTTTTTTTCCCCCTTTAAATGATTTTGCAGCCACGATGGTGACGACAAGAAGAGACCAGTGATCATCCACAGAGCCATCCTGGGATCAGTAGAGAGGATGATTGCTATTCTGACTGAAAACTACGGCGGCAAATGGTTTGTAAACATGTTTTTAAAAGAACCAGACATGAATATTTTTGTTTTATTGCAATTTAGGGATGTCACAATACCAGTGCCAATGAAATTCCATGATTCTCAATACCAAATTCGGTACCACAGCAAGATACAGAAAACACATGCATACCTCCATATAATAAGTGTGCAAGCAGACTAACAAGGTGACTGACCCATGATGTGAAAATATTCATTTAAAAAGTCAACGTTCTGGTGCACCCGGTGCCGCCATCCCACCAGTTGTTATTGTTTACTGTGCCTTCTGTCGCCTTTTCTTTGAGTTTGATGTCCGACTAGGACAATTGTAGGGTTATTATACTGCCCTCGGCGGTCCCAGAAGAATCACATCTCCAGTACTGTAGAGAAATGAGTCCCATCACATCTCCAGAATTTTGGCATTGACTTGGTACTGAAGTATCTCTCATGGCATCTCTGTTGCAGCTGTTTCACAGCACTGATGATTTTCAAATTTATGGGATATAAACAAAAGTGCCTCAGCTGATGGGCTATAAATATTTGCACAGATTGTGTCCAGCCTGCTTTTCTACTAACCAACTAAATGCAAATATGTCCCGTTTTGTTTCAGGCCTCTGTGGCTCTCTCCTCGTCAAGTGATGGTTGTACCTGTGGGACCAACCTGTGAGGAGTATGCTCAGAAGGTAAGCACTGACCTCAACCACTTAAGTACATATTCACACTTCAGAGACAGCGACAGTACGAACAGTGCCCTGAAGTTATTGGGCACTTTAATTTAACACCCAGCTGATACTGAAGTTGTTTCACTCCTACTACATCAGTATTTAACCACTGAGGCACATTTTTCACAGGCTAGAATCATGTGCTGTTTCATTGTGCTGTTGTATGCATGTTGAGATATCCTTTAAGTATGGAACTTGATTCAGATGGCTGAACAAAACTATATAAAACACTTCCACTGCCTCTGAAGTTCATATTTCTGCATCTTTTAGTAGGAAAACTACAGTTCATTACAACTTGGCTCTATTACTTATAATACCATTGTACCAAAGTTATTAAGTTCTTGGAATGTGGCAACTTGCAAAAGACATGGGTGCTGAGACATTCATTATTAATCTATTGTACTGGAATAGTGTACAAGACAAGTCAAACTCAAGTTGTAATAAACTGCAGTTTAAAATGTGGAAAAGAAAGATTTGATCATTGATCATATTATGCTTAAAGCTGCAGTGATTAGACATTTTTGCTTTAAAAAAGTGACTGAAACAGTTCCTAGATTCTCAAATCGAGGATTTGGTGTTTTTCTTTGTCACACTTAATAGTAAACTGAAAATCTTTGGTTTTGGATTGTGGGTAAGACAAAATAAAACATTTGAAGATATTACCTTAGTCTGTTTAAAATTAGAACTGACATTTTTGCACTATTTGCTGTAACTCAATAGACAAAATAATAATTAGTTGCAGCTGTAGTTGTGTTGAAAACATTGTTATTTACAAAGAAACAATTTGCAAATAAAGAGCTGCAGAGTCCTGATATCCATGTAACTGGAAAAAACTGAATTCTTATCTTCTTTGTAGAGAAGAATTAGCAGAAATCTGTTAAAATGATTACAGAAAATATTTTCAACTGTTGGTTGTTTCTCTGGTTAATGTTTCAGGTCAAGCAAGAATTCCACAACAGCGGCTTCATGACTGACGTGGATCTTGATCCCGGCTGCACTTTGAACAAAAAGATCAGAAATGCACAGTTGGCACAGTACAACTTCATCCTGGGTCAGTGGCAACACACTTTCTTTCACTCGTCTATCTGGCATTTCCTCTCCTTATCTGTTCCTCGCTGTCCATCTAGATATTGATTTTCTTTTGTCCTTTGCATGTCTGCCTCCCTGGAAAAGTGGTGGGAGAGAAGGAGAAGACAAGTAACACTGTGAACGTACGCACTCGGGATAACAAAGTTCACGGCGAGCACAGTGTGGAGGCGTGCATCGACCGTCTGAAACAGCTCAAGACCTCCAGGAGTCGGAACGCTGAAGAGGAATTCTGAGCTTTCCCAGACTCTCTGCTATCAGCTAGTCCTTTTCTCAGCAGGAAGCTTGAATCTGGTAACTTTAAAAGGGCCATGTGGTTGGAAACAGTTTTTGAAACTCATTTTACATCATTGCCTAGTCTTTCGTCCTGAAGAAATCACATTTTTCTCATGTCTTCTGTTGCCTCTTTACTGTATCATTGTTTACAATCATCAAATCTCATGGTTGCTGTACTCTGATTGTGAATATCCCTTCTGCTCTACTCTCATGGGATTAGACTTTACAGAACAGTCTGTACCATCAAATTTCTCTTTAAAAATATTTACCATATGTACTGAACTGAGGGTGAAATAGTCTTGCTTCTATCACTCATAATTGCTTCAGGGAATTGTATGTGAACTACAATTTTGATAATTAAACAATCTTTTCTGGATGTGCTGCTTTTTTTTTTTTTTTTTTTTAGATACAAGTTAAGGCCCGAAATCTCTTGCTGCCCTGTGGTCATCTGAAGAGAAAAAGATTATTAATAAATATACACATTAAAACACAGCAATAAAGTAGAATATTAGAAGTCAACATGTTCTTAAATATATGTCTTTTGGTGCTGACAGTCTACATTACTTATCAAATGTAGTTATTTTTAAGTCACAACTGACTTCACAAGTTCAGGATTCTCCATCTTTAGGCCAAAGTTTAAATTATTTGATAGTTCGAGACATCCTAAAAACATCCAATTTTCCAAAAGGGAGAGATGGGATTGGATGGTGTTAGTGTGGTAAATGTGTATTCTTATCAACTAACTCCACTAGTGTGTCATCACTTGGGACGGAAATCGGTGATGTGCTGGAGCAGAGCCGGCCCTAAGCAGGATTTGATTTGGCCAAGGGCGTAGGGTTGGTTTCAACATTGGTAGGGATGCAACGACCCTGCCACCCCTCCAAAACAAAGATTGACTTTTTAATGCTGTCAAACAAACAATTTGCTAACATTTAACATATATAAAGAAATGCCAATATGTAAATGACTTTCTGTTCGAACCCAGAACTTTCTCAGTATGAGGCAACAGTTCTACAACTGTACTACCGTGGCGCCCCATCACAAATTCAGAGTATGCTAAGGCATAAAAACCTCATAATATAGTAGGGCACAAAAAGGTCATTAACACCATGGTATAGTAAGTCATGATATGTCATAAAAACGTCATATATATATATACTAAGGAATAAAAAGGTATTCTATAGTAAGGTATAAAAACATCATGGTATAGTAAGGCATAAAAGGTTACTGTAGTAAAGTAGAAAAATATCATAGTATAGTAAGTATGAAATGTCAGTGTAGTAAGGCATAAAAACGATATAGTGTAGTAAGACAAAAAAAATAAGAGTATAGTATGGCATAAAAAGTCATAAAAATGACTTTGTTTTATAAGGTTAAAAATATAAAAATATCACGGTATAGTAAGGGATAAAAGATCAAAACAACGACATAGTATATTAAGGCTAAAAAAAAACAAAAAAAAGACATTATTGTAAAGCATGAAATATAAAAATATCACGGTATAGTAAGGCATAAAAAGTCATGAACTTCATTGCATCGTAAGGCATGAAAACGAAATAGTATATTAAGGCATAAAAAGTCATAAAAACGTCATAGTATGGTGAGGCATCAAACAAGATAGCATAATAAGGCATAAAAATGCCAAAAAACGTCATAGTATAGTATGGCATAAAACGTTCAAGAATCATCATACTATATTAGGGCATAAAAAGTCATAAAAACGTCATAGTATGGTGAGGCATCAAACAAGATAGCATAATAAGGCATAAAAATGCCAAAAAACGTCATAGTATGGTCAGGCATCAAACGAGATGGTATATTATAGCAGAAAAATGCCAAAAAACGTCAAGGTATAGTATGGCGTAAAATGTCAAAAATACATCATAGTATATAAAGGCATAAAAAGTCATAAAAACATCATAGTATGGCAAGGCATGAGACAAAATAATATAATTAGGCATAAAAATGCCAAAAAATTTCATAGTATAGTATGGCAAAAAACGTCAAAAAAACATCATAGTATATTAAGGCATTAAAGGTCATATAAACGTCATAGCCTGGCAAGGCATGAGAAGAAATAATATAATTAGGCATAAAAATGCCAAAAAACGTCAATTTATATTAAGGCATAAAAGGTTATAAAAACGTCATAGTATGGTCAGGCACCAAACGAGATAGTATAGTAAGGCATAAAATGTCAAAAAAACATCATAGTATATTAAGGCATAAAAGGTCATATAAACATCATAGCCTTGCAAGGCATGAGACGAAATAATATATTTAGGCATAAAAATGCCAAAAAACGTCATAGTATAGTATGGCATAAAATGTCAAAAA